GCAGCGTCAGAGGCTGAGACCCGCAGGCCGGCAGAGGAGGGGAACTGGGAAGCCGCACCTGCTTCCTGCCACATCATGGTCTGGAGAGATGGAATCGCCTCAGCCGAGGAACGGCCTGCTCAGGACAGGTCTGGAACCACATAGGACTGGGCTGTCAGTGCCACCTAGCACCCCGGGACTCTGCACCACAGCTGGTCCTGCCTCAGCCCCCAGCCAGAAAGATCCACCTGTGCCTCCTGTGTCCGGCTTGGGCCCCTGGGGCCCGGGCAGGGGCAGGGCCAGGTGCTCCTTCCAGCCCTCGCTGCCCGTCTGCCCTGGCCCCCGTCACGGTGTGGAGGGTGGCCCCCTGCGCCCCAGGAGGGGAAGGGACCCACAGTGGAGCCAGCCCAGAGTGGCCTCTGCGCACCGGAGCTGAGGCATCAGCACCTAGGGGGGCTATTGGGAGGCCTCAGGAGAGTCCTGCCATACCCTGACCTTCATCCCCATGTCACCGAGGCTGCAAAGGAAAGGAGCAGACACATGACGCCAGAGGTGAACAGGTAAGTCATCCTTCCAGCGTCACAGAGCACATGATGGGGGCTCCTGGGACTGCAGGACATGGTCTGCCTTAAGTGTCCAGGATGACAGGGTCAGACATTTGGGGGAAGGCATCTGATTTCCAAACTCCTTTTACTTGGGGGACCGGAGGGCAGGCTGTCAATGCCCAGATACATTATTAAGGATGTGTCACCCCCACCAGGAGGCTGCCAGGGCCTTGAGAAGGGGTGGCAGGTCCTTCAGTCATGGGGAGGTGTGGGGAGGTGGCGTGGGTGCCCATGTTCATTTGCTATTTTAAAAACTACCCGTGAGAGTAGCCCCCCACAGCAAAGCTGCACCCCTCCCACTGTTCTACTCCTGTGGAGAGACTTGCCCAGGGCCCAGGGCTGTCCACAGGTGAGCCAGGGGCAGGGTCTGCCAGTCACCTCGCGCTGTCCTTGCAGGAGCTTCTGTGGGACCCTGGTCCCCCGTTCCCTGGGTGAGCTCTGGGTCTAGAAACCAGCTTGGGTTAGAACTGGGTGTGAATAAGTCATTTTCCACTTGCCACCACCAAGGCCACCTCGGGCAGAAGAGTGATGACATCCTTTTGCTTTCAGATGTGGGCCCCAGGGTGCCCTCACTCTCCCCAGCTCTGCACCACCTTTTCTTCCTTGTCTATAGCCGTACCACCCTGAACACGCCCAATCTTGTCTGATCTCAGAAGCTAAGCAGGGTCAGGCCTGGTTAGTACTTGGATGGGAGACCCTTTCCTCCTAAGTGACCCCAGCAACCCCAGGCCTGCTGTAAAGGCTGCAGGTGCCCCACCCAGTGGGCAGAAGTCCTGTGCCAATCCCACATCCAAAACCCTCGCTGCACTCCCTGACTGCACCTGGACAGACACAGAGCTGGTCCTGGGGCAGGACCCTAGGCACAGGCTCTCTGAATCATCTCTGAGTGTCTGGAATAGGTTCTCTGCTCTGATCTGCGGGGCATTCACGCCCTGTTTCCCGAGGTCCTGGGTGCTCATTGCCCACAGGAGTGTAAAACAGGTACTAAAATTGTCACCTACAATTACATCTGTAATCAAGTGTAGCAGGTGAATAGGTGCTTCTAAGCGTGTTGCAGAACTTGGGGGAATAGGGGAAAGCCCCCAGTTTAGCACCAAAAGTCCCAGGCAAAGAGGGGCAGTTGCCATAACAGGTGGAGACACTCCTCAAAGACCAAGGAAGCAGGCTGGGGGCACCCCGAGTCCCAGCCCCTCTTGGTCTCCTGCACAGAGGTGCAAAGTCTCCAGGCCCCAAGGAGCCCAGGGAAGGAAATCCCTGCACCTCTGCTGCAGCCAGGCCTCTGGCCCAAGGGGTGTGACCTTCGGTTCTCTTAGGCAAGGGACCGCCAGCCAGCCTGTGGCAGGGATCAAAGCCAAAGCTCTGCCCATCCCGCTCCCCCCAAGGACTTATTTGGCCTTTGCCCCCCTCACCGAATCCTGCAGATGGAGCATCCCCTACCAATAAAGGTGGGCTGCATGATCCCAGGGGGGCCACTGTCCCAGGCCAGTGCCTGCCTCTCCACCTGAATGACCACAGGGCCAGCACAGATCCCATCCCCAGGTAACAGGGGTACCAACCTGGCCCTGACTTCAGCCCTGCAACGGACATACATGTCAGCATTTAGAGCTGCACTGGCTCTGTCCACAACAGAGTGACGGAGTCTTGATCAAAGCTCTCACCAGACCCGTCCAAGGGACCCAAAGCCCTGGCTCAGTCTCAAGCTCTGGGTGGACATGGCTGACCCTGAGCAGGCTGAGCCCTGGTCACTAGGAAATTTACCTAAAAGCAGGAACTTGCTCACCACTTTGGGTCCCCTCAACGTTGGCTAAACTAATAGTAATTGTATTTAAAAATGTGTCTGCCTTTACTCTTATCTGAGACTTTGACATTCAAAGTCTCTATCAGTCCAGTCGTCAATAGCAGTTATTGCTGCCTCATATTTAGGTGGGTCTAACCTGACATTCAGGCCGGAGGAAGGGCTCAGGGGAGGGCTGGGTCAGGGCTGGGGTGAGGGGTGGGGTGAGGGCTCAGGCAAGGGCTCAGGTCCAGCTCAGGTTTGCGCTGTCCAGGATCTGAGTCCCAGGCCTGCTTTGGCTTTTTCACTGGTTTCTGTGCCTCAGTTTCCCCACGAGGACAATCAGAATAGCCAGTGCGTGTCAGTGCCGTCCCCGCGGACCACGAGCACGCACCGCATGATCTGTTTCCGCCAGTGACATTCAGCTA